AAAGGTGTTAGTGGGAGTTTTTTAAAAACACWTTTAGCTATTTTTGTACTGCCACTAGGTGGCACAGTGGTCATTTCACAATATTTTCATATGGCCATGTTCAAGACTTAATGACTGTTAAGTATGTTTTTGTGTATTTTGGACAATATATTACCCCCAACAGTGTGTTCATGTAGAAATGGGCGGTTTCAAAATAATCTCACACCCACACTGTTAGAATTTGGGAAAACTTTATTATAATTTTTGTGCAACATTTTTACATAAGGCTTTAGTACAAATTTGGATTTGATACACTCTACACTCAATTTTAAGATGAAATAGCATTTGGCGTTGTGTGCGAATCGCCAAAATTTGTTATTTTTTTTTAAATGGCCAACTTCCTGCAGGTTTTAGAATGTTGCCAAGAGATTTTTTTTGTTCAACCTGAACCAGTGCACCTATGTAACAAATTTCATATGTTTATGTAGGCCTGGGCGATAAACCGAAAATTAACAGATACAACATTTATGACAATGGCCAACGTCATTTTGCCCATGTCGGTATTAAAAAAATGATGAGAAAAGGTTTTTTTGTTTATTTGGTTTAACGTTCTCCATCGCCATGACAGATTTCCGTCCTCCTGAACGTGCCCAGGACGGAATTCCGTCATCCTAAAAAAATGAGGAAAAGAGAAACCTGCTTGTTTTCTGTTGCAGTCTCATTAAAGCCGCCCAGCCTGATACAGGTTTAAACAGGGGCTGCTTTCAACAAGTCAAACAAACCCCACAGCTTTATCCAATCAGAGCAGAGCATGGCGGGTCTTTCTGATGTTGGTGAAGCCATGTGTAGAAATTCTGCAGGATAAACACCGGTCAGCCTACAGCTCCTGTCCTGAGTGAGCAAATGCTCCTGAGCTACTCGAGACATTGGTATCTAAAGTCTAATGCACTCTAAGTTGTTTAGAGCATTGTTACCTAACAGATGTGTCCAGCTTTTCTCGCGTGACCAAACTTGTCTTCTCGTAAGACAGCACTGTTACAARCTGAGTTGTTCTGTGAGTGCTGCTGTTTCAGCTCTCCCAGAACGCTAAGGACTGTGGTCCTTATTTTTATTATGGGCCATGGGCTGGGCCTGTGACAATGTTGTTTACTCAAAATTGCAATGGTCAGCTAAGCAATTTTCTCTACTACTTTTTCTTCTAAATCACATTTTCATCGTGTTACAATTACAGTTCTGGGTGTTTGAAATAAGACTTGAAAGAGTGTTCTGTGACTGTATTCATGTGTAGGAGTGTAGGTGGCAGTGATTCCGCTTTCCTCGGGTTAATTTCATCTTTTAAGCAGTGCTGCAAAAACACTGCTCATGTACTGAAGTTTCCCTCTTGTTTATTCCACATTTTTTTCTGTCTTTGAATTTTTTTTAGGATGACTGACTGACTCTACCCACTCACAAGCTGTTTAATGYGCCCTGTATGCACATTTTAAGATTGTGGCCAGATCTGTCACGATTTTACTTAAAATGTTCATAAATACTTCATTTATTAATCAGTGAAAAGTGTGTTTAGTCTCACTTTGTTTTTATAGGTGAGTTTATTTTGCATTCTTTTGTGCCAACACCTTTATAGAGGTTTTGATATGTCATTGATGTTGTTATTACCACAAGATATTACATACACTAAACTCTTCCCTATCCTTTTTGGGGCTGTTTTAATACACAATGATTTTGCTGTTGGGAGGTAAGGTGGCTCAGTTGGTAGAGCTGTTGCCTCTCAGCAAGAAAGTTGCCGGATCCAATCTCGGCCCAGGGACCTTTCTGGGTAGAGTTTGCATGTTCTCTCTGTGGATGCGTGGGTTTTCTCGGGATACTCCGGCTTCCTCTTACAGACCAAAAACATGACTGTTAAGCTAGTTGTCCCTAGCTGCGAGTGATAGAGAAAATGGTTGGTTGGTTGTCTAGTTTGTTTATGTGGTCCTGTGGACTTGCGACCTGTCCAGGGTGTACCCCACTCCTCACACAGTGACTGTTGGAATTGGGCACCAGTGACACCAATGACACTGAAAGGAATAAGCGGGTATAAGATGGATGGTTTTGCTGTCTAGGTGCTTAAAATGGTCATTAAAAAGCCCTGGTTGCTTTGAATTGTGCAGTGGTTTATTTGATGGACCCCTTGTGGTTCTAATCAACGGTATATGACTCAGCAGATAAATGTGGACTAGATCTGGTGACAAGCTGGGACTGCTGGCTGACTGCTGACATGGCAAGTGGTTTGTCAACCGTATGTGGGCCAGGTCTGGCTATGATGGCACTGTTTGCATGATGGTGTTCCACAACTGGCCCAACTGTGGTTTGGTATATGTTTGTGCTGGCCCATGCATGGACCACTTTTGTCAAACTGCATCAAGGCCATCAAAGGACTGTCTTTTGGGGGATCCAGGCCGAGCTTTACTGGACTGATATGGTCATGTGGGCCAGAACTGGGCCAAACTAATTTGGCTCTGTGGGTATGAACCCCAGTCGGCATCTGAAACAAATGCCGACAGGGCATTTTGCAGTGACAAATGCTGTAACCTTTATTGTCTTCAGAGTTTTTTGAGTATTATTTAATTTAATGTTTTTATTATTTTAAACAGTACAATTTTTTTTGTCAAAGATGAAGATTGTATTTGTCAAAGCTAATGCAGAAGTCAAAATATAAGTTCAGATATTTTAATTGATGTGTGGAAAATTTATGTGGAAAGGTTAATTCTTACTTGTTAAAGGTATTTATTTTAACCAAACAGTCTGAAGAAATTAATGATTTTTTTTCTGATCAGGCCAATTAGTTAATGGCAGGTTCATGCGAAACTAAGGTCGTATTCAGACCTGATAATTTGCTCCRCTTTAARCGAACCAGAGTTCGTTTCCAGCRTTGGTCCGGACCTTTTGTGCAGGTGTGAATACACTCATGCGAACTCTGGTGCGGATCAAACAACCGGACCGAGACCTGCTTTTTGAGTGGTCTCGGTTCGTTTCCAAACGAACTCTGGTGCGGTTCGCTTCAGTTTGCTTCTGGTGTGAATACAGACCGGACTCTAACCGAACCAACTGCATTAAACATGCGCCTTTTTGG